TCTCACCTATTTTGGTCATGTTTTCAGAAGGGACCATTCCCTGGAGAAGGATGTCATGCTTGGTAGGGTGGAGGGTCAATGAAAGAGGGGGAGGCTTTCAACGAGATGGATTGATATGGTAGCTGCAATGATGAGGTCAATTATAGCAGGGATTGTGGGGCTGGTGCAGGATCAGGCAATGTTTCGTTCTGCTGTGCATGGGGTCGCTATGAGTTGGAAATGACTCGACGGCACTTAACAACAACAACAATGGTCTCATGGTCATATAGGCTGAGGTTCATATGGTCCACTAGTCCCTTGGACTAATTGTTTCCATGCATCTTTGGTTTTCTTCATTCCTCTTTGCTCTGGATTAAGAGAGACCCATTGTTGTATCTAGATGGTTGCTTGCAAGCTTTTAAGACTGCAGTGACTACTCACTGAAGTAGATGTAGAACAATGTTTTTGTGTGGTATGTTATGCCAGTTGAGCTTGATGTCACCCATGACCATGGTCCCATGCTCACAGGTCCAACTGCTCACTCCCTCAGGTGGTTGGCTGGGCCAAGAAGTTATCATAATTTTGGCCCTTGTTAGCTCTGTTATATATATATATATATATATATATATATATATATATATATATATATACACACACACACACACACACACATATATATATGGACATTCTTATAGCACGTAAAAATGCATTTGTAGAAATATCATCTGCCAATTTTATATATGGCCATGGCTAAGGAATATTACACGTGTATTTTATTGCTTTGTTGGTTGTTAGGGTATTGGGAGTATCTTACTGTTCCAGTGAGGTCATTGAGAATAGGTCAGCAATACTGTATGGGACTTGCCATGAGTCCATGTGTTTTCAGTTTCCCTCCTGGTGCTGTTCCTATGTCTCATTGCTATTATCTTCCAGTTACCATCACTTGTCTCCTACTTTTCTGGACTGTGCTGATTCCAGAGGAACAAGCTTTTAACTTGTGCTAGCAGTTAAAAAGAAAAAAAAGTAAAAACTCATGAAGCTCTTTGAAACTATTGTAGAAGACTAATTTTTTACATATTGGTATAAATATATATTAGAAATAGTTAAATGACAGTATACATGGTAGAATATTTTGTTCTTTTTAGGAAAATGTTTTCAAAATTATCTCAGAGAATAAAATTATAAGTCTGGAAAAAAATCTTTTTTTCCTATTTGACTACTAATTAAAGATTGGTTTTCTTTCTTGTTTGATGACTTCATTCCTCCTGGATTTATAAAAGTAATGAGACTTAACTTCCATCGCTATTCATACTATCTTATGGAATTTATAAATCTAAACAATCTCTTTACAGTTGTGAATATATATATGTGTTGACATATATAATGAACACATATATGCATGCTTATGCATGTATTTGATAGCATTTGCACCTAGTAAAGAAATTTGTCATTACTTTCAAAATGTTCTTACCCTTTTATGAAGAGGGAAATACCACAAAAGTTAAAGAGAACTCAGGAGCATTCTTGGTTATCATATATTTTTCTGGAAATTCTATTTCATTCCATTCTACTATCTCTATGACACTGTACACACTATTTATTACAAAAAGGCATTTGTCCTTGAAGAGAAAATTACTGAGTGAAAGAAATTACAACATACTTGGGAATTTAAATTATAGTATCATGATGAAAACCTTAACAAGTTTTTTCTTTTTTTTTTTTCAGTTTTTTCTCTTTAAAGTACATTTAAATTAAAGTACCTGTCTAAATGTTTATTATGAACTATTTGTTGTTGTTGTTGTTGTGTGCTGTCGAGTTGGAGCCAACTCATAGTGACCCCTCCTTGGGTTTCCGAGGTGGTATCACTACTGAAGTAGATTGCCTAATCTTCCTTGCAAGGAGTGACTGCTGGGTTTCAACCACCAGCCTTCTGGTGAGCAGTCAAGTGCCTTAGGCACTATGCTATGAACTATTTAGATATAACAAAAGTTTGCCATACAAAATTTCGTTCAGTATAGTGAATATGATTCAGTTCATATCTGACTATGTTGATGGCTCCTCTAGCTCCTTTTACATAGACTATTTGGTAGAGGTTCATCTTCCTCAACAAAATGGATTGACACTGAGGCTGCAATGATTGGCTCAAGCATGGCAACAATTGTGAGGATGGCTCGGGACTGGGCAATGATTTGTTGTGTTGTGCATAGATTGCTATAAGTCTAAACTGACTCGATGGCACTTAACAACAACAAAAACAATTTGGTAGAGAAAACAGTAGTAACAAAAGCATTATGTGTGCTTTGGAACAATGCCTAGATTATTCAGGCAATTTGGAAGTACATTCTCATTTCTATCTCATTCTTTATTCTATTTCTATTTATGTTGCTTCTCTTTTGTGGTTGATATTCTCATTTGTTATGTTACTAGCCAGTCTTTCATCCATTAATCCTTAAATCAATACATCCATCCAAACATCCATCCATCCAATCAAAAATTATTTGTTATAGTTCTGTAAAAATCTTGGAAATAAAGTAATTTCCCATTTTGATTGCTTATGCCCAGTTCTTTACATTTAGTACCTTATTGTAGTTCTAAGGAAGAGCATTGTGGAGAAGGTTTTACTGATCCTGTGGTACAGATGAGGAAACTGAAGCTCAGAGTTTTGGGTAACTTTCCCAATGCCACACACAGCGTCAGTCCCAGACCTGGAATTTAAACTCAGGTCTGACTTGTCAGAAAGACTAATTCTACTTTGCCATGTACATTAACTCCCTGACTCAATGAATCAAACTCTTCCAACAAGGATGCCTCAAGGTACTAAAGAGAGATAAATAAGAAACAGAGAAGATTTCTTTTTTAAAGCATTTTAACTGAATACAATTTCTTCCTATGTGTATTTAGCCTTAAAAAAAAAAAAAAAACTTTAACAAAATATAAACCTAATATCATGAATGCAAGCCAGGAATCTTAAGGACTTTGGAGAATAGTATTAATGTTTAAATACCTCTTGTTGTGGAGTCAATTCATAACCATCCTAAATGACAGAATAGCCCCATGGGCTTTCCAAGGCTATGTATCTTTATGGAGGCAGAATACCACATCTTTTTCCCACAAGTGGCTGGTGAGTTCAAACCACTGACCTTTCAGTTAGCAGCCAGGGGCTTCACCACTCTGCTACCAGAGCTCCTTTAATGTTCAAATAGAGGGGACAAAATAATCTTTGCAGAAATAAGGTTGTTTTGAGATTATTGCTTTTAACAGAAAAGAGCTAAGAGTTTGGAGAAAATGAAAGCACATTTCCCCAGGAAAACATATTTTTGGTTTGAAATGTTGGAACAAAAGTGACGATAGTGAGAATGTCTTACATACATAAGGGCAATATTTAACTTATTTGAAGTTTCCTTATTTGTGTAGGATATTAAAAACATACTTAAAATGTTAACTCTAGATTCAAAACGCCATAGGTTTTGATAAAACTCTAATTCACTGCCATTGAGGCAATCCCGACTCATAGCGACCCCTCCTTGGGTTTCCGAGGTGGTATCTCTACAGAAGTAGATTGCCCAATCTTCCTTCTGAGGAGTGGCTGGTGGGTTTGAACCACCAGCCTTCTGGTTAGCAGTCACATGCTTCAGGCACTACACCACCAGCTGTTTTAATTCTCCTAGTATCCAGCTTTTGGGTCCATGGAGTTGGGGTGATCCATCAAGGCCATTTGCCATTTGAACCTTAAGCCTTTATGGAACTCTTTTCCTAAAGTCACCTCAAGTCAAACAATAGCTCAATAATCAGCTTAGCAGAGAGTTTTTACGTTAGTTATTGGGCTCTTTTGGGGTATTACATTGACCTTTGGGAAACTACCCTGCCTAGACTCCACCTCTATAAAGTGTTTTCACCATCCCTCTCTTCAGAGCGTCTTCCTGATACCTTCAGGTTGACACTGCCTAATTAGAATCATATCAACTCACAATTCTGTTATACTAATATTTGGTGTTTGTGCACTTAGGTTTTTGACAGTTCCTATGTTTTCTATTGCATGCATTCTTTAAAAAAACAAAAAACCAACTCACTGCTTTCAAGTCTATTCTGACTCATAACAACCCCTATTGGGTTTCCAAGGCTGTAAATCTTTACAGAAGTAGATTGCCCCATCTTCTTTCCACAGAACAGCTGTTGGGTTTGAACCACTGACCTTCTGGTTAACAGCCAAATGCCTTATCCACTATGTCACCATTATTATCTTTTATTTAAAGTTATATTTTAATCAGTAAAGTGACAGATTTGGTTAAGTACAAAAAAAGTTAAAGTTAGAAAAATAATACTTATTAAAACAATTCAAAGTACTTTAGGTAAAGATAATGTAAAGGGAATGGTGACTTGATGTTTTAGAAAGAAATAAGGAAGCAACTCCTAGTGATATTTGTAAATATGACTTGTCCTAGGAGAATAAAACTGTGATCATGGAACAGACATTAATTTACCTGATATCTACTGAGAAGCCCTGGTGCTGCAGTGGTTACACACTTGGATGTCAACTGAAAGATAGGTGGTTCAAACCTACAAGCTGCTCCATGGGAAAAAGATGTGGCAATCTGGTTCCATAAAGATAATAGCCTTGGAAACTCTATTGAGCAGTTCTACTCTGTCCTATAGTTTTTCTATGAGTTAGAGTCAGCTTGACAGCAATTTATTTTTGGTTTTTAGTGGGTGGTGGTGGAGGGTTGAGGTAATGGCATGAAAAATGTGTTGATTTTTGGATTAATGGCACAATTTGAATCTTTTTCTGTTTCTGTAGTCCTAGAAAAAAGTGAATTCAAGGATGAACCCCTACTTTTCCGTTTTTTTGCGGATGAAGAAATGGAAGGCTCAAATATGAAGCATCGACTTATGAAACATGATTTAAAAGTTGTGGAAAATGTTATAGCTAAATCATTACTGGTAAGTTTATTAGGAGGAGCTCTGGGGGTGCAGTGTCTAAGGCAATTGACTGCTAACCAGAAGGTTGGTGGTTCAAACCCACCAGCTGCTCCGTGGAAGGAAGATGGGACAATCTACTTCCGTAAAGATTTATTGCCTTGGAAATCCAATGGGGGTTGCTATGAGTAGAAATTGACTTGATGACAGTGAATTTGTTTGTTTGTTTTCTAAGTTTATTAATATGGTATATGAGTTTTCTTTTTGATTAAACATTATTAGGAGACTGTACAAATGTGTAGTAGTGATGTATATTATTTCATTATGTTTGATTTCTAACTTTTGGTGGTTATTAATAATGTTTATATTTTGCATTTCAGATTAAATCTAATGAAGGCAGTTATGGCTTTGGGCTAGAAGACAAAAATAAAGTTCCAATAATAAAGTTGGTAGAGAGGGGGTCCAATGCTGAGGTAATGTAAATTAGCATTATTATTTAAAGTGGTTGTCTTAACATATAATTATACAAGTTCTAAACAAATAGAGAATCAGTCTTTAAGTAACCTTATTGCGGAAGACATTCCTGGATAATTTTACTCTGAGCTTGTATCAAATACTCTTGGAATTAGTGACAGGCAAGCCCACGTCTGGGCACTCAAGGTAGTTGAGGACAAGGAAGGGACTGAGGCATGGACAGACCTACAGATTTGAGCTTCTTCCCCTCGTGGGAGGCCAAATGGCTCACTTTATGTTCCTGGGTCCCCAGTGGACACTAATTCCACATTGTAACTCTGAGGGGACTGCACAAGATAGGACTATAGTAAGTATGTCAGATGATTCTTTACTTCTATGAGATCAAGGCTCTTTTTCCTATCATATTTGACTACATTTTATAATTACACTGTCCTCCTGTAAGACACATGCTCTGACTTACTTTCTCATTGGACTAATGCTTACAATACTCTCTCAACTCACAAGCCTTTTAAAGAACGGATTCTCATCTTTCATTCATTGGTAAATAATTTACTACTTACTATAATGGCATAAGGAGCTCTAGTGAGGCAGTGCCTAAGGCATTTGACTGCTAACCAGAAGGCTGGTGGTTCAAATTCACCAGCCACTCCTCGGAAGGAAGATTGGGCCATCTACTTCCATAGAGATGCCACCTCCGAAACCCAAGGAGGGGTTGCTATGAGTCAAATCACTCCACGGCAGTGAGTTTGGTTTTGGTATATGCTAGATAAGGAGTGCCTGGATGGTACAGACAGTGAAGTGCTGGGCTACTAACCAAAAGGTTGGCAGTTCAAACCCACCTAGAGGTTCCTTGGGAAAAAGACTGGTGATCTGCTTCTGAAAGGTCACAGCCATTGAAAATTCTATAGAGCACAGTTCTACTCTGACTGACATGGGGTCACCATGAATCAGAATCAACTCAATGGCAACTGGTTTGGTTTTCTGTATGAAAAGGATGAGACATTAGTGGTTCAGTCGTAGAATTCTTGCCACCCCTGTTTGATCCCTGGTCAATGAACCTCATACAGAGTCACCACCCATCTGTCAATGGAGACATATAGGTGGTTCTGATACTGAATAAGTTTCAGCAGAGCTTCCAACTAAAATGAACTATAAAGAAAGGCCTTGTGATGTACTTCTCAAAATAAACCAGTGAAAACCCTATGGATCACAATGGACATAGACCTGCAACTGAAGATGGGGACAGGACAGGACTGGGTTCAGTTTTGTCCATTGTACATGAGGTTGCCATAATAAAGCCTGATTTAACAGCAGCTATCAACAACGACATATGCACACAGGCACTGTTCTAATGCTCTGGGAATATATCAATGAACAAAACAAATTATTTGCCCTCGTGCAGTGTTATATCCCAAGTATATCAGGTTTAAAGTATCCTCACCTTCCCGCCTGATTTGTAAACTATTTTATTCTCAAATAAATGTCTCAATATTTAAATCATTGATAAAGAATATGAGAATTAATGAAGCATGGACTTTAGCTTTGCATCTACTTAAAGTTTGTCATAAATTGTCACTCACCCTGATACAAGCTAATTCCCAAGGTTTCTATCTTATACAAAAATACAAATGTATGACACAAACCTTTATATACAGCATACTAGTTTTTTAAAAAAATAACTCTGCACATCTTATACTTTGTGAGTTGGCTGGGGCAATAAATAAGTATTTTCAGTAATTTTCTATGACAGAGAGGTTCCTTCTCTAATGCATCTTCAGAGGATTGTCAGAGTATAGCTTTGATTATTCCACTGATACAATGCTGTCTCTCAGGTTTTCATCATTTAGCTCATAACCAGAATAGCAAGTAGTTTATAGGCAGAAGATTGGCCTGATTGACTCCAGGGGGCCATATCTTTTGTGTTATCTTTTCAGCGTCTTACATTATTGACACCTCTGTGCTTGTTGCATCTTTCATTCTTAGATTCCATGTCACTACCCTCCCCAGTGTTGGAGACACTTATGCTGCTCAGTCTAGAGATACATATTTGAGTATCATTGAAGTATATGTAGAGGTTGCAATTCTCTCAGTTAATTGACTGTAATGGAAAAAGCAGTAAAAAAAACTTAACCTAGGATTTGACCGTAGTTAGAAGGATGAACTAAGAAAAATAACTAGAGACCAAAGTTTATTAGTGGTTACCACAGTCAGGGAGGGAAAAGGGAGAAAATGTGACTCAATGTTTAGGGGGACACTGAACAAAGAGTGATGGAAAAATTTGGGAACAGATAAGGGCGTTAAGTGAACAAAGTGCTGAACATAAGTTAATAGCACTGAACTGTACATGTGAAGGTTGTTGAAATGGTAAATGTTCTGTTACATATTTATTTACAACAACAGGAAAAAAGGAAATGAACTACAAAATAAAATAGGAGAAAGGTAGCAGGAGGAGTACAATGTTAAGTCAAGGAGAGAGAGAGAAAAAAAAATTTCAGTTAGTTGGGTGATCAAATGTAAAACTAGGTCAAGGAGAATGATAATTCTGTTATCTTGCCACAGTTCTGTTTTGTAAATTTGTATAAAGACATTGAAGATGTATTAAAACATCAAAATCCCTAAGCTCTGAGCCTTTTCAGATATGTATTCTGTGGGAAAAAAAAAAAAAGATTCCTTATTAAAAAGTATAATTTGAAATGTTTTTGTTCTTTCTCTCTTAGATGGCTGGAATGGAAGTTGGGAAGAAGATTTTTGCTATTAACGGTGACCTAGTTTTTATGAGACCATTCAATGAAGTGGACTGCTTCTTGAAATCATGCTTAAATAGCAGAAAACCTCTCAGAGTCCTTGTGAGCACAAAACCAAGGGAGTAAGTTATATGATTTGTTTGAGATTTTTTTTTTTTTTTAAATTACACATAGATGAGTAAAACAGAAAACTTAGCTAAGTAAATGTTTAGATTTAAGAATAGCATTCCTTGGAACATTTAAACATGAGCAACATCATTAATACCAATCTGTAGATGGTGGAGAAAACTATACTGCTTATCATGATAAAATGCTTGTTACTCAAACCATGTAGTTTCAGTAGAAGTAATGTTTGCCTTTGCTGGCCAAATTTTTCTGGTCTTGGTTGAAATCAGTTTGGCAATGAATAGTGAAAGTGAGTAGAACATTTGAGGATAAAGAACTGCTTTCCTCCATGTTGAGTGATAAAGAATTCTGGGCTAATGAATTGATTAGACATCAGCTAGTGGCATAGTGCCTAAAGCATGTGACTGCTAACCAGAAGGCTGGCAGTTCAAACCCCCAGCCACTCCTGGGAAGGAAGGTTGGGCAATCTACTTCTGTAGTGATACAACCTTGGAAACCCAAGGAGGGGTCTCTATGAGTCAGATCCAACTCCACGTCAGTGCATTGCATTGTTGTATTGTGTTACACATCACTTATAATTAAATATACATATAAGATGTAGATGAAGCAAAACTGATTGGGAGACACTTCATACTTAGGTGTACTTAAGAATATGTCCATTCTTCAAAAATACGTATCTATCTACTGATCTACCTACTTGCCAACCTATATCTACCTAAGATTAGAAGGAAAAAAAAATCATGTTCCTTATAGAAAATTGAGAGTCCAGATTTTCTAAAGGAGTATTTTTTTTGTATAATTATATCGCTCATGAATAATCATTATTATTTTTTTTAATTTAGCATGAGATGTTTTTTCTAAGTATTGATACACATCTACACAATCATGTATACACACACACACACACACACACAAAATGGAGTGATGCTTTATATGCTACTTTGTGATTTTTATATACAATAAAATATATACTATGCATGTACAGCATTGGCTTTCATCTTCAAATCATTTCCACTGATAACCTAGTGTTCGCTTATTAGATTTGCCCTGATTTGTTTAATTTGCTCTCTACTCTTGGACATTGGTGATTTAACTGTTCATACTTATAAATAATGATGTAATGAACATCCTTGCAGCCAAATCCTTACGTATAATGGTAGTTACTTTCTAAGAGAATGAGTGAAAAGATGTAATCATTTTATAGTTTTTGATATATTGCCCTCCATAAAAACTGATACCATTTATACCTCCACCAATAATGCATTAGATTGATTATTTTTTGTGCCTTCCACAACATTGAGTATTATCATTAATAAATTTAAAAATGGCAAACAAGCTATCAATGTCTAGAGTGATTTTCACCTAAGAAGGAACACATTTCTAGAAACTTCAAGATTCCTGCTATTTATCTCTGTATGGATGCTCTGTAAATCCTATCAGTCTACATCACCCCTCTGTCAACTCTTGATCTTGTAATCTGTCCATCTGTCAGTTTGTCATACTATGGTAGTTTGCATGTTGCTATGATGCTGGAACCATAACTGATTGAGGTTATCTAGAGTCACCAAAGCTGCCAGAGACAGCTCTGGTAGCGTAGTGCCTAAGGCACTTGACTGCTAATCAGAAGGCTGGAGGTTCAAACTCACCAGCCACTCCTCGGAAGGAAGATGGGGCAATCTATTTCTGTAGTGATACTGCCTCGGAAACCCAAGGAGGGGGCACTATGATTCGGGTCTGACTCGACAGCACATAACAACAACATGATGCTGGAAGCTATGCCTCTTGTATTTCAAATACCAGCAGGATCACCCTTAGTGAACAGCTTTCAACAGAGCTTTCAGACTAACACAGCCTAGCATAAAAGGCCTGGCGATCTACTTCTGAAAAGTATCCAATGGAAACCTTATGGATCATATCAAAATATCAGTTGATGTAGTTCTGGATGGTGAGCACCCTAGGTTGAAAAGCAGTCAAAATACATAGTTTCTATGATAATGAACCTGAGAAAATAAAAAATCTTTTAGAAATTGTTTACTCCTTCTCCTCTTCCCATGCTAAAGTTAACAGAGCTAGTCAGTCCCACTTTCTATATACTTCTAAATACCTTTTATTTAAAAAATGTCTTATGCCTTTCACCTCTGTTAAGTCTTCCTTGAACCCTCCCAATAATTCAAACTGACTTTCTCCTTCCTTCATGCTCTAAGGATTATTTTACTATACTGGTAAAATTTATTTACCTAATTCTATCTGTTTCTCCTATAATGCTGAAGCAGGAATACTCTTGCATGTGTATGTAATTCTTGGTTTGATGTTTTATCCACAGCTATTCTATAAATATTTGTTGAGCTGAATGGAACATTGGGAATTATCTTTGCTATACCAAAAAATGTTACCTTTGGCAGCCTTTTCTATTTATTGCCATTTAGTTTTGAGTGAATACTGGTGACTGAATATGTCTTGACAGCCTGTTAGTATGGATATAGAAGGAAAAACATGCTGTAACATGACTGTTTCAATTTTGGACCATTGTAATCTGAGCAATGAAATAAATAATAATTGGGAGCTCTGGTAGTGTAATGCCTAAGGCATTTGACTGCTAACCAGAAGACTGGCAGTTCAAACCTTCCAGCCAATCCTTGGAAGGAAGATTGGGCAATCTACTTCCATAGAGATACTGCCTCAAAAACCCAAGGAGGGGTCACCATGAGTCTAATCAACTCGATGGCAGTGGGTTTGGTTTTTTGGTTTTAATGGATTATAGCCTATAGATTAAAATAAATATTGATAAGTCCAATGATATTAATAAATACGTACATAAATAAAGAAACAAAACTTAAACTCACTTCCATTGAGTCAATTCTGACTCATAGTGACTCCCTTTGGGTTTCCAAGGCAGTAAATTTTTAGATTTAGATTTAGATTAAGATTTTAGATTTAGAAGTAGATTGCCCAGTCATCCTTCCGTGGAGTGGCTGTTGTGTTTGAACCGCTGACCTTCTGGTTAGCACTCAAATGCCTTAGTCACTAAGCCAGGGTTCCTTACATAAGTCGATAGAGGAAAATAAATATTTCTTCTCTCAGTAGAATTCTGGTTAATAAATGAAGACAAAATCATGGAAAAGCAAATCACCATTAAGTAATAATTGTTGCAGGCAAGGATCATCAATGGATGCTAAAATCAGTGGACAAAGTGTAGTAAGAAACAAGACAATAACACAATCTCAGAGTATCTCCCCTGAAAATAAGTATTTGTGAGGGAATATAGTGACTTTATATTTGGAAACTTGGTTTAGCCATTGATAAAAGTTACTCCCACCCCATATGATACACTTAGAAGCACAACACTTCACTTCTGTGCTATTCTATTAAAAAATGCATAACTTTAGTCTAATCACCAAAAAGCATCAGATGAACCAAAATTGAGGTACAGCCCATAAAATAACTTGTCATTAATCTGTAATCAATCATGGGGATGATCAGGACCCTTCAGCTGTACATAGGGTCTCAGTGAGTTGGAGGCTGACATGATGGTACCTAACAACAACAACAACTCTTCAGATGTTTTAAGTTCCTTAGAGACTGAGGAGCTATCACAGATGGAGGAAACTAAGGAGACATGACAACTAAATACAGTAAGTGATCCTGGATTGGATGCAGGATCAAAACAAATTCATTAGTGGAAAAACTGTCAAAATTTGATTAAGGTCAATAGATTAATCAAGAGTATTGTGTTAATGTTAATTTATTGGTTTGAAAATTCTACTACAGTAATGTAAGCTATAAGGAATCCTGGTGGTGCAATGGTTAAAGTGCTCGGCTGCTAATATAAAGGTCAGCAGTTCAAACACAGCAGTGACTGTGCAGGAGAAAGATGTGGCAGTCTGCTTCTGTAAAGATTAACAACATTGGAAACCCTATGGGGCAGTCCTGCTCTGGCATATAGGGTTGCTATGAGTTGGAATCAACTCAGTGGCAGTGGGTTTGGTTTTCTGGAATGTAAGGTACCAGCATTAAGAGAAGCTGATAAGGGGTAAATAAGAACTCTCTGAAGATTTTTTTTTTTTTTTGGTAACTTTTCTGTAAGTCTAAAATTATTTCAGTATATATAGAAATAAAAATTGTCTATAGGTTTCTAAGAGTTTATTTGTAAGTTCAATTATAATGTTGATTTTATAAAGCATAATTAAAAAATAATGTTATATACAGAATAGATTCAAAAACAAAATAAAACATTGAGGATTGACCACAAAATACACATTGAAACATATTAAATAATAAAATGCTGTATAAGTCTTGTAGCTGCTCTGGTGGCGTAGTGGATAAGGCATTTAACTGCTAACCATAAGGTCAGTGGTTCAAACCCACCAGCTGCTCCGTGGGAGGAAGACTGGGCAATCTACTTCCATAAAGATTTACAGCCTCAGGAACCCAGTAGGCTCACTGTGAGTTGGAAATGGCTGAATGGCAATAATTTTTTTTTTTTTTTTAAATAAGTCTTGTGGACTTGGTCCTGGGATTCCAAATCTAGTAGGTTTGTCTCTATTTCATTGTTTCTGGTGAAGACCATGAATGTTATTGTCACATGGATTCAAATCCCAGCTCTGTATTTTCCTAGCTGTTGGACTTTTGGTAAGTTAATTAATCTTGAATTAATTGAGATAATGCATATAAATTACTTAGCATAATGTCTTAATGTGCTGTGTATCAACATTGCTGTTGAAAATGTATATTATTCATTAATAGTAATAACTTTATTAATTATAAGATAAATGATGGCTACCACTTCAAAACAAAATACTTTTCAATTTAACTACTAATGAAAATATTCTTTTTTAAAATTTTTTATTTTAAGTGTTTGTTTTACACTCAACATTACATGTACATTTAGTTTCACTCCCCATTTACCATCCCCAACCCTAATCCAGTCTTCTCCCCTCCCTGCACAATAATCCTTACCCCTTGCCCTTCATAGTTATGCACTCCCATTTGTCCTGCA